TTAAAGTCTCAAGTTAATGAGATTATTTTGGTATTACTGTCTTTCAACCTTAATGGAAACTCTAATGAAAAATCTTTGTAGTAAACAGAGCACAGTGGACTCAATTCCAAAAAGGCACATCCTTGTGCTTTTGTTAGAGAAATATAGTGATGTAATTTTATGCTCTATGGATCCATGAAATGGTGTATGCAGTATGACTTCATATACGACCCAATACTGCTACTTTTGAGCTGAGTTCAAAGTACACTCATTTTCTCTAGCTTTCTCTGATAGTGGTAAGTATACTGGGATCTAACTCTTCTCATCACACCTCCTCCGCTCTCCCCTTCTCCCCCCCCAAAAAAAATTATTTGTGGTTTAATTAATTGCTGTAGAATTTGGCATCACTAATTCTCCTAATCTGAATTTCTAAATGTGTAGGAATAGCAGACCAAAAACTTAAATTTTTAAATTCAGTTTAAGGCTTTGAAAAGAACATTATTTAAGTTATTCATACAATTCTTTTTATGATAGGGAACTAAATATTTCTGAATTCCAACAGTGGGTAACTTTAAAGTTTCTTTGCAGGTAACAAAAAACTGCCATTCTAAGGCAACAGTAGAATATTAAATCCCTGAAAGATAAATTAAGAAGAGATCCGAGAATCCTTAAAATTAAACAGTAAGGCCTCAATTCAGCAAAACGCTTAAGTGCCTGTTTAAATACTTTGAGGTATAGGGACCTAGAATAAGTGTGAGTAATGCTTATGTAAGCCTATGCAATGCTATGGAAGTGAACATGCACAGCATGTCACAGGAGGCATTCAGAACTTTGTAGAACAGGGACCTTTTAAAATATTTAGACAATGAAAGATAGCTTCTAATTTTCTTTTTGTAATTTTTAGTTAACTTACTACTTGTGAAAAATGACATACAAAAGATTTAAAAAAATGTTTAGAGAGCAACTTCACACATTTGCTAAAAGATAAGTTGCTAGAACATTAAAATGTGGGGAAATATTTGTATTTAATAGCGATAAATTATTATATACATTTTTCTGGACCTCGTGGGAAATATAGGACATAAAGTAAAGTCACTAGAAAATTGTGACGTATGAAAAGCAAAAGGGCCAATAAAGGAAAGGAGAGAGGAAATATGAAAGAAAAAGCAATAGGCTGGAAAAAAATCAGGGGAAAAACAGGATAAGAGATCAGAAGAATGGGATTCCATTAGGTACTAATATTGGCACAGCTTAGCTTCTGTCTCTGAAAAATTGTGTTACATTTGTTTTCAAATAGTGGCTAACAAGACTTTTCAAGAATTTTGGATTATTTTACTGGCATGTAAATCTGCTGTTCTGATCTCCAATTCATGCTTTTAGGTTTATCTGTCTCTAACATTAGCATCTGGATTGATGGAGTGACTTTGTCATTTAAAAGAGAACATGGAAAAGCTATCAGTTTATATATAGTCTTGTGACTATTTTGTCCAGTAGCAAACTAGTCTGCTAAAATAGAAGAAAGGACAGTAACTGCAGATCTTTCTTTGTTCCACTTTTGCTGAAATACTCTTTTGAAAAATCTATGCAATGTCAGGTCATTTTTTGTGTTGTTAAGGTGGAAAATATATAAAATCACACTATGCAAAGTACAGAAGAGAATTTTTGAATAATAAATAACCTGTATATTGTGGAAATAGTTTCCTAAAACTGTTACGTGTTTTTCAGAAGTGCAGTTCAAGTGCCTTAACAAAATCTCCAGTCTTGCAGGCCAACAAATGAATTCCATTTAATAACCATGAGTACATATACATACATTCTTGTCCTGCAGGACAAATGGAATTTTAGGGCCCCATGATTATTTGTGTATGTTCAAAAAAACAAAACAATAAAAAACCAACACAGCTGTAAAACTTGGTGCCAGTGAGGGCACAAAGTGAGTTTTGCTGCTTTTTTTTTACACAAATTGTGAGTTCATTCCAGTAAAATAATTTTCTGAATCCATTTGTTTTCAAATGAGATAATGTATTAGGCCAGGTATTCTCCAAACGCTTTTATAGTGTGCACCACCGCTTAGTGAAGCAAGTGTCTAGTGTACAGCCTTCCTGCCCAGTCATGATCACTCACACTACCTCTGCTCCCAACTCTCACTATTCCATTTGCAATTACACAATATCTCTGTGGCAATTGCAATGCTATTTGCTTCCCTGTTTGCCTCCCAGAAGCTGCTGCCTGGTTCTGTTTCCTAGCTGAGGAACTGTGCAGGGTGGAAGCTCTTCATCTCCATATACACCCCTTTATCCTCTGCCCCTTGTTACCAAGAAACTTGCTCTCAACTCCTGCTTCCCCCTCCCCCCTCTCCCCGCGCTCACAACCTTCCTTGCCCTCTCACACATCTTCAGACTCTACTTCCCAAGATAGGCTTTTTCCCCATCCGGGCTCCCTGCACATGCAGTTCATGTGACATCAGCCTTGACTTCTCCCACTATCCAGCCTCATTCGCCTTGCTCTCCAGCGCTAAGCACCAACTGCTTTTTTCCTTGTGCTCCTCTGATGCAAGACCAGGACATTGCTTCCTTCCTCTGCCTTTTCCTGCACTCCCCACACCAGCCTGGTGCTGTCCTCTTCCCAACCACTCCACCACAATGGTAATTTATAATCCATTCACATGCGTTTTTGTAGTTCCTATTTAGCTCAGAAATTGTTGTGATGAAGCACTTCAGTGTTAAGTGTTTATGTAGTTAAGTTTCAGTACTGTACACTTTCCTGATGCACAGCTTGCTTGGGCAGTGTGGATTACTTTATGGTATTTTGAAGGCAAAGGTGAGGCTATTTTACAGACTCTTACTCATTTTACTCTCTACAAATCTAATATAATACCAGTAATTTAATTTAAAAAGATAACATAGTTGGAGCATTCCCCGAAAGGAGATCACCATCAACATGAAACTTGGGTCTTTTTTGTTTTTTGCTTATACTACAGTGGAACATAGAAGATTAAAACTATATTACATTTTGTTCCTTGTGCTTCTTAATCATTGAAAATCTCACCTTCTTACACAATATTGCAAATGTTGTAGTTTGAAAAAAGTTCTTATTTTTTAGCTAATATATTTAGTTAAATTGTTTTTGTGCTTACTTTAAAAATATTCGCATCTGTTTTATGAGAAATCACTCCTTGGCTTGTATGGGGAAATTTTGAATTTTTTTAAACATTACTCATCATACCTTTTTCTTTACCTAAATTATTTGAGATAAATTCATTCTTTGTCATAATTTAGGTTTGAACTCGATTGACTCCCAGTCTTAAAGTATTCAGATCACATTTTATGTATTCCAATATGTTTTTTTCAGACTATTTAAAGACTTCACTTTATACAAGAAATGGTGTCTTGATATGAAAGTCAGGAGAAGAATTTTACTTTTGATCTGATCTAGTTTGTACTTTTAAATAGGTAAAAAAAAATTTACTGCAAAAAGCTACTTACTAAAGAAAGTAACTTAGTACAAGGCATACAAATTGTTTTAAGAGATCTTATTCTGTAAGATTCCAAGCGTGAGAATAAGGGGAGGATGTACATTAATCCTCTCATCCCTCCTTAGTATTGTTCATTCTTGAACTTTTCCAACTACTGTGTTACTCTCAAAGTAGTCCATATTTCCAGGATCAAAGCACCCATCCTATTTTCTGTGGTTGCATCATTTTTTTTATCTTTCTCTAAAGACACATGATGCTGAAAATAAATCAAGCCTTCTCAAAAAAGCAAATCTTTCCTGAAGAATAACAGAAAATATTTATAATTCATTTGTACATTCCTTTATTTACATTGCTACATTACTGGCTAAATAACAGATGTCAGGTACAAATTTAACTATCTTAGGTGGATACAATTTGTCTATTTTCAGCCACACGAACATATTAATAGGATTTTTAGTACTTCACTCTGTGTCCTAAAATCCTTTTCCACAAATCTTAATATGAATCATGTAAAAAGTGTGAGAACCATTTGAATTATGCTGTTTGGAGTCTGGCTTGCTGCTATTAACTTTTAGATGAATATCTTTTGCTTATGGTGCATCTTTATATCAGATATTTTGGCTGGTATATTTCTTTTGCCAAATGCATGTAAAGGCTAGTTTCCTAAAAGGATACTGATCACTTTGCTAGCAGCCGCATGAAAACTTTAATTTAACATTCATTCAGGATGTGCAGTGGGACACTTATTTCCCATCCCACTCCCCCTGTTTTCTTTGCTCCATTCAAAAGCATGAAATTTATTAAATTCCTGAATTCTTTTGGCTACTGTTGTTTCTAGTCTGCTTTTCCTGTGCTTTATAAAGTGTGTTCAGTGAAATAGGGGCGCGTATCATTAGGAATTTAGTTTATAATTCACGACTTTATCTTTTGTAAAAATATAGAACATGTTTGTATTATAAAACAGTCTCAAATGCCTATTCTTGTTCTTTGTTTTAACTTTCACATGGGAGCTCATTTTTATCTTGCATTCATATTTGAATTATTTTTCCGAACAGTCTTGCTATGAAAAATTATACTGACTGTATAGCTTAGGAAATGAAGTCATATCAACCCCATCTAATTCAGGACACCTGTTCCATAAATCTAGTCAGTTGCTTTTTGATGATTTCCAGGTAGCTCTGAATAGCAATATTATTTTTCAAAATATTAGCTCTTATGATTTTTTGAACTATTTGCTATGTTGCTATTAATATGAATCTCCTTCCATCATCCACAAATCTGTTGGAGTGCAAATTTTCTTTGACAAATTCTAAGAGAACTTTCTGCCAGCTTGACATGCTTACAGTCATGGCTGTCCTCTCTTCAGTGACATTTTTCATGTAGCAAAAATAACTTACAATTCCAGAAGTACCTTGTTCAGTCTTCTGCATGGGCTTGTGCTGGTTTCCAGGAATTACTCCAGTGGCCTTTATAGGAATTGTGAAATTCCTTGAAGACCCTGAAGTTCCCTAGTATTGTGAAATCTATTTTTTATTTTTCTTAATAGGATGCAGCACAGATGCCAAGCAAGTTGAGGAGAAATCTTCAGCTGCAAATGAAGAAGAACTATATCCTTTCTGTAGGGAGCCAAGTTACTTTGAAATTCCTACAAAAGAATTCCAGCAACCTTCACAAATAGCAGAGAGCACTATTCATGAAATCCCAACAAAAGACACCCAAACCTCACATGCAGCAGGTGCGGGGCATGCTTCATTTACCATTGAATTTGATGACACCACTCCAGGAAAAGTAACTATCAAAGATCATGTGACAAAATTCACTTCAGATCAGCGCCACAAGCCGAAGAAGTCTTCTCCTGGTGGACAGGACCTTCCTGGGCTTCAAACTGTGATGATGGCTGCTGAGAGCAAAGTAGCTGACTGGCTAGCACAGAACAATCCCCCTAGAATGATATGGGAAGCAACAGAGGAGGATTCCAAAAGTATTAAGAGTGATGTTCCAGTTTACTTGAAGAGGCTGAAAGGTAAAGTGAATAATTTCAGCTATATTTATTTCCTAAGGCTTCAATCTTTCACAGAGGTCATGGATGGACCCCTGCAGTCCAGTTGAAGTCATTGTTGCCTCTGCACAGGAGTGTGTGGTAGCAAATTTCTTTGCAGGATGGAGTCTTAAAAAAGTAAAACAATTAATTTAAATGATCCTACAGTAAGTATACTGACTGCAGTTGTGTTACGTTATTATACAGTTGAAGGCTTCATATGTTCCAAAAGCTTGCTCTTCGAAAGAAAAAACATCTTGGGTAATGTTACACAATTTATAAGACTGTACATTCATTTGTTTACAAAAGTTGAATCACTCTTGATAATCAAAACAGCAAATGTTCTGTTGGATACATAAAAAAATCCTTTTGCTATAATCACATTCATGAGAGCTAAAGAAGATGCACATTAATGGCTAGATACGCAGCATACACAGATACTCTATTTAACATACTGATTTGGGACCCTGGATTCAACTTTAAGTCCATACTCTGTTATAAACCAAAATGTTTTGTAATACATCAGTAAAATATTTACACAAATATTTTTGTCAACCAAAGTTCCAGTTGATTTCAGATGTTGATTTATTGCAGACTACAGATCCAATGACATTTCAAATGAAAATGAATTCAGCGGGGGTAATAGCTTTTCAAAGGAGTAAAATCTATGTGGTGATTTCATTAAGCAGAATTAATGAAAAATTCTGTTATGATTATTTGCTCATAAGTATTCCACTGACAATTCAAACTTTTCAGAAAGAAATCTTGATGACAAATATTTAAAAGTCTACTAATTATTTACTTTTAAAAAATCCTGAAAACTTAACTGTGCAGTTCCTTATTTCTTAGCTTTGCAACCTAAATATACTTGTCTGCTCATCAGTTGGGATTGAGTAAATGTTTTGTCTTATTGATCAAAAATGTGCCTTGAAAGCTCACTTAGAAAGTTTGAAAGTCTTAGAAACAGCAATATCACCGTGCTATTAGTGAAATAATAGCATAGTATTATTGCAGTGTTTTTAGTGCATAATATCACAGTTACTGCTTTGCTGTTCATGACATTGGATTGTACTGGACTCTTAAAATATTCTTTATGCTATCAGACATGTTACTGTGAAAAATGGGAAGAACTATTGCCTGGGCAGGCATATGCATGCAAGAATTGCATCCCTTTTATGTAGCAGAAACTTGAAGATGTTTCTGTTACAAATGCACATTTACAGTTCTTTCAATTGAAAATGTATGTTGTACCACAGGAATTTGTTCTGGATAATGCACTGTGTGACCTACTGTATCACAGCTGGTCTCTTGCACTTCCCCCCTTCATGAGGGAATACCTACAACCACTCTGAAAGCTTGACTCTGAACATTGTAGTGAAGCTTTTTAACATATTGGTATGTTCTCCCTGTCTGTCTTCTATTCCTAGCTAAACCTGCAGTGAAATCATGATGCAAAAAACTCTGACATATAAGTTTCATGACAGTATTATTATTGCTATATTGTGGTAGCACCTAGGATCCCTAGTTTTAGACCAGGGCCGCCGGTGCTAGGCACTGTGCAAACACATAATAAAAAGATGGTTCCTGCTTCAGAGTGCTTACTATCTAAGTTAGTTGTCATAATAGGTTGTGATGTGAAGATTATAACCACTTCAACAATAAGAACAAGCCATGTAGAAGTACACTTTTATCCTAGTGTTAATATTAGAGGTAACAGCAACAGAAAAGCTAAAATATCAAATCTTTAAAGGTTTTTTGTCTCATTAAGTTCTAGTGCAAAAGCCCGTCTTTTAAACCTACTGTGTATAAATATGTGTATGATTATTATATTAGTATGAATCATGGAATATTACCACAGTTCCGAGCTTCTTCCACATCCCTACTTGGTAATCCCAATTTTTATTTTTTTTAGTAGATATATTGTATTTTCATCCTCTAACAGATAAAGAGCAAAGACTCTAGATCGGGATGGGCAAACTTTTTGGCCTGAGAGCCACATCTGGGTGGGGAAATTGCATGCAGGGCCATGAATGTAGGACTGGGGCACAGGGTCGGGGTATGGGAGGGAGTGCAGGGTGTGGGAGGGGGTGTGGTGTGCAGGCTCAGGGCAAGGGGTTGGGGCACAGGAAGGGGTGCGGAGTGTGGCGGGGGCTCAGGGCAGGGGGTTGGGGTGCAGGAGGGGTGCGGCAAGGGGTTCAGGGCAGGAGGTTGGGGAGGAGGGTTCAGGAGGAGTTCGGGGTGCGGGCTCCAGCACCGCTTACCTTGAGCGGCTCTGGGGTGGCAGCAGTGCACAGAGGGGCTAAGGCAGGCTCTCCGTTCCCAGCCAATGGGAACTGCGGGGGGAGGTGCCTTCAGGCGAGGGCAGTGCGCAGAGCCCTCTGCTCCCCTCCTCCCCCAGAGGTCGCAGGGACGTGGTGCTGGCCGCTTCCAGAAGCGGCGCAGGGCCAGGGCAGGCAGGGAGCCTGCCTTAGCCCCATGGCGCCACAGGGGTGGCAATCCCGCGGGCCGGTTCCAAAGCCCTGATGGGCTACATCCGGCCCGCGGGCCGTAGTTTGCCCACTCCTGTTCTAGATGAAGTCTGATTGCTAGATAAGTGCTGTAGTTGTTCTATTTTCTTTGTTACATTGCCTCTGCAATGCTCCATTTTGGTTAAACAGAGTACCAGAAATTCCAAATTAACTGTGGAAAATGAACTTCTATTTTCATGTAACATAACATTATCAACACAGCCAGCTGGATGACTGTTTCATATTATTATCTAGCTGATACTTCTGTGTCTGGTAAAGGAAACAAAAAATGAACACTTCATAATCTTTGTAGCATACAAAATATCTGAATTTAAAATTTAAATTTTATAATTACTATATTAGTTGTTTTCCATTAATTGTTATGATTATTTTAATTGGTTTAGCACTAACAGTGGTGTTTGATGCTGTACAAGAGACATATCAAAACAGTTACTAACTAGCAGAGCTTCCAATCTAAATGACAATCTAAACACTCTAGGAGATCCAGAGGAAAAGAAACATTTTAGTAACTAACAACATGCATAGTTTGACATTTGCACAAAAAGAAATTACTTAAAAAAACACCTTATGGCTAAAAGAAGAAAATCCAGATGATTTAAAGAGAGAGAATAGCAACTTATTCTACAGTGTTTGGATAGTTTCATTTCACAGAAGACTGCTTTGTAATAAGTTTGGCTTTTAAAATTTCAGTTGCTATGTAGTTCCTTCCATTTAAATTTCTTTTAAATAATAATAAGTTCTCATACAGTGATCTTTAGCCATAGATCTCAAAGTGCTTTAGCAGACTGGCAGGAGTGACTGGTTGGAAAATTAATTGTACTTGTGTGAGAGTATGATAAAGGATTAGTGCTGATGCTAACTAGACGCCCTTTTCTGGAAACGACAGTGATTAACTAGATGGAAAGTTATTCTGAAAATACTTATAAATAATGTTCCAAATTTGTAGCTCTCTACAAGTGTTTCCTAATAACAGTGAATTATTACATAACTATATTCTGCATCCCCTTAACCCTTCCTGGAGCTTTTTCAGGGTCAAGTTTTGTTTTCTGGTGCAGGAGTCATTTGTAATCAGCCGACTATGTAAAAGAAGGCAATTTGATTGGGTGGCTTGATGAAATGAGACCAAGATCTGGTACAGCTATATAATATTATCTGGTTCTGTAAACCATTGATTAAGTATTTACAGATTTAAAAAAGGCAATTCAAATGCATCTGTGTCACTGATCAGCTTGTAAAAGACTTCATTGTTTGACTGGTAGCAAGTTGAATGTGTTAGTGTAGCTGTAGGAAGTCTGCAGAGCCTGTTACTGAAGGACATTGGGTTACCAACAGAAAAACAAGTATAATTTCCATGTACATTTTAATTTGCCAGCTTCTGTCCATGTGATATTTTTACTTTGTAGTAATATATTTCTTTTTTGTTTTGTTTAAAGGGAATAAACATGATGATGGGACACAGAGTGATTCAGAAAATGCTGGTGCACGCAGGCATTACAATAAGCGAGCAACACTTGATGAGCATTTAAGGCATCAACATATAGAACAGAAAAAGTCATACCAGAAAGCCCATACTACAGAAAAGCATGAAGAGCAGGCTGCTATAAGTCAGACTGCCTTTATGATTGAGTTTTTTGATGAAGACCATCCTCGAAAGAGACGATCTTATTCCTTTTCTCAGAACGTAGGAGCTCTTTGCTCAGAAACTCCTTCTTCAACACCTCATGTGAGAGCTGAGAAAGTGAAAGGTACATCTGGAGACATCAAAGGGGTTTCTTTGCCTTTGCAGACTAGTAGGGTAGCACATGGTGTTCATGCAAAACTATTAAAACAAAAATCAGAAGAACCCTCGGTTGCATTACCTTTCTTACAAACTGCATTGTTAAGAAGTTCAGGAAGTCTTGGACATAGACCAAGCCAAAACCAGGAGATGGACAAAAAATTTAAAAGCCAACTTGTTTCTGCTGCTACTGAAAAGGACAATGATGATGACCAAAGTGACAAAGGTACTTACACTATTGAGTTGGAAAATCCCAATTCTGAGGAAATGGAAGCACGTAAAATGATTGACAAGGTAAGAAATTAAAATACATACCACTATTACACACTGCATTTCAGTTTTTTCTCATGGGAAATACATGCTACTTACTGAAATTACCAGGATACTGTAATCATAATGAAATACAGGTTCTCAAAGTAGACTTTAGTATTTGTGTATGGAAAAAGGCATAAGAGAGCTTGCAGTGTATTGCCTAAACATTCCAAATCACTCTTGATGGTATTGCTATTATTCTTTATTTACTACTCAGTATTCTACTCAATATTCTACACAGTATTAAAAATGGTTAGATCCTACTGTTGTTTCAATCTGCCCTGTCTGTCTGAATTAGAGAACAACATTTTAGAATTGCTGTGTTTTTAGCAAAGTTACTAAATTTGGATTTACTACAGTCCTGTGAAAATAGTGATCTGTTTTAAAAACTCCACGTCTCTTCCTGTTTTTCCATACACTGATTAATGTTGTGACAAAGAACAAATTCAGATGAACAAATTATACCACTACCTCATATTTTCCAGAATTGTAAAGGTGGTATAGTCAATGTATAGCTTGTACTTCAGTAACTTGCCCTAAATTTCAGCATCTGTCATACTCCATCGAATAGAATTAAGAATATTTTCACCTCTCCTTTATACATATAAACTCACTAGTACTCAAACAGTGATCATATGGTTCTAGGCGCCTGTTGAGGGAGACTGCAGCTCAGTTACCAAGATAGCTTTAGTTTTATAATAAGGGTTTGGACTCAATATCAAGATAAGAATAACTTACTGTAAACATTTGGCTTGCCACTTTTGAATCAGAACTTTCTTTATTACTAATTCTCTGCTTTCCTAAATAATCCATTTAAGGCATGTTAATCTGTGTAGGACAGTGGTCTCCAGTTTAGACCCACAGTGATACATATCCAGCATGCTATGCAGATAATGTATTGCTTATTTGTTCCAAAAAATTACATGATAGTCACTTTAGTTCTTCATGTTTAAAGCCTTTTTTCAGATTCCAGTAAACAGATTTAGCCAACAATTCTTGCTAATGAAAAACAGAAAAATATAAAGAAACAGATTAAACTAAATCTTTGATTTTAGGAAAAAATACTGATATGGTAAATGGGAGATTATTTTTAAGGTTCTTTCTATTTTACTTAGGGATTTAATGGAATAGTTTATTCAATTTTTGGTTAATATAAAATGATTCAGATAATTCCTTTCTTGTGAGTCCTCAAAAGACCTAAGCTACTTTTGTTGTGTATTAAAGCAGTTAACAAAAATTGAAAAGAAAACATTTCAAAATGGAACAAGTGAAAATAAAGAACAGGGTATACTTATTTTGTGTTAGTGGTCACAGACTTTATGAATTACTGAATTTGGAGTTGTTTGTCTCCAACTCTGAATTTGACTCAGAGAAAGCAGCCTGTAAATCAAATTAAAAAAAACAACAAAACCAAGCTTGCCTCTTCCACAAAATTTGACAGCAAGAAGATTGTTTCTGAGCTAAAATACAACAAAGGCGACGTTCAGGCAGCAATTTAAGATCTTAAAACTTAAGTAGAAGAATTAGCAAAAAGAGTCAACAGAATGAAAGCAGTCTCAAGTGAACATACGAAAACAGTCACAGACATGGATCAAAAATTGAAATAAATAGAAAAGGCAGAAAATTATCTGGAACTCAGATTAGACATGTTGAAAACTTACAAAAGGAAAATCTAAAGAGTCAAATGTGGTCCTGAGGGGGCGGAAAAACAGGAAGCATATAGATCTCAACATATAAAGAATAAGCGGTAGGAGCTGTGCATTCTTGAGACTTGGAAGGAACTTTGATTACCCTCCAAAGACTCTCTCATGCTTGCCAGTTAAACAGATGGCTTGATCACATAATAATTTCCTCTGCTCTTAGATCCACCCTGTTAGAAACTGTTATAATAATATATAAGAACTATGTATTATTATCAATATTATCCATAGATCTCAGTGTTTTACAAAGGAGATAAGTATCATAGGGCAGTTCGGTTTGCAGTGAACATGCTCCGTCTTTGCTGTGCTCTGTGATTTTAACTGAAAGTTAGACAGAGATCTTGGAGGATGAATAACTTATTGCTTAAAGACTCAGGAATTTTAGCTGTTTATAAGAAAGGAATCAAAATGCATTATAAAATCAATGAAAATGGAGAAACCCACAACAATATTATTAGGGAAGCCTGTAAGGCAATCATAAGAAGAAAGTTTCAATATTGGTTCTGCAAAGACAAGAGAGAACCTGAGCTCCACCACTCAGGGATGAAGCCCTTGGGCCCTGGCGACCCCATTAAAACAGGGTCCCAACGCATTTGGGGTCCTGACCCACAGTTTGAGAACTCCTGTAATATGGTCATGATCTTCCTCTGACACATGTTTTTCTGTTCATATTCTGTCATATGTGGGTATTTTGGTAAGGTCTCTCCTACTTATTCTGTGTTTTATGGTTTAACTTTGTTACTTCTGAAAAGTGTGTGTGTGTGTGTGTGTATATATATATATATATATATTGCAATGTTGATGTTTATATGGATTGTTTCAGCTCTCTGGGATGTTTATAAGCAAGCTGGAAATGCATGTCTATCTTCAGTTAAAAATCATTCTATTTCAGCTGTATATGTTTTAAAAAAGCGCCTTGAGTTAGACCATGTGTAAGGCACCAACATAGACTTTAGTATTTTGTTAAATATTATTAGTTGGGTCATTGTCCGCTTAAACTTCTTGTCTGGGGAGCGTACCTCATGCAGTTGTCATGTAACTGTCTTACCTGGTACTTAGGGCACTGTTTAGTCCCAGTAGCCCAGATTGAGATGATGGTTTGTTTTTTTTTAAATGAATAGAAACAGAATTTTTCCTACCACTAAAATTTTCTGCTATACTTCCTCTATACCCGTCCCAAAAAATTAATTAGATTTGTATTAGTTTTTCTTTACACTGAAAATGCAGTGATAATTGGAATTGTTCTCTTGTCTGTAGTTATTTAGAACTGGAAGGTCTACTGCTCTGTAATTTATCAGACTAAGTTTGAACAAGAGACTGTTTCGGTTGAGTTCAGTATTGGCTCTGGCGCCAGCCAAGGATTCACCCCAATAGTCCAACGATACAATTAGAGATATCTTCATATAAAACTTTAAACAGAGGCCCCTTTTATTTATTTATGCCCAAGCCATTAGGATTTCTCTCTCTCTCATATATATATATATATATATATATATATATATATAATATCACGCTGTCAAAAGTGGCTCATGACCATGAGTGCCTATCTCAAAAACAGGCTGACTCAAAAACAGGGCAGACCCAAACTGGTGGTGTGTCCTATTAGATTTCACCAAGCCAGTAACAAATGTCAACTCCACTATAACAATCTTCCCATGAAGTCACAGATAGTCCCTTTAGACTCTCCAGTCTATCTTGCCACCCAGACAAACTGGACTAGCGGCACGTCTTCACTACCCACCGGATCGGCGGGTAGCAATCGGTCTATTGGGGATCGACTTATCGCGTCTAGTGAAGACGTGATAAAATCGATCCCTGATCGCTCTGCCGTCGACTCCGGAAATCCACCGCGGCAAGAGGCGGCAGCGGAGTCGACGGCGGCGCAGCAGCAGTCGACTTGCCGCCGTCCTCACAGCCAGGTAAGTCGACCTAAAATACGCAACTTCAGCTACGCTATTCACGTAGCTGAAGTTGCGTATCTTAGGTCGACCCCCCGCTGTAGTGTAGACCTAGCCTTAGAGATAAATGATCACTTGCACCAAAAATCACACTGTCTTCAGGTTGCTTCCAGTCCTAAGAGACCAGTCACTTACCCCAGTTCAGTTGGTACTCTAGCTCTTACACCAAAAACAACGTCTGTAGCCAATCCTGTAATAAACTATCTAAAGGTATTAACTAGGAAAAAGAAATGAGTTATTTACAGGTTAAAGCAAGCAAACATATATACACAAATGAGTTGCCATCTAAATCCTAAGTGTGACAGAGTTGTAGTGATCTGTCAATTCAAAGTGTCTTTCAGTGCAGACCCAGGAGTAATCCCTGGAGATCTCTGCCTCAGTCTAAACTTTAGACTCTAAAGTCTCTGGCCCTGTCTGAATTCAAACAGCGAAGAGAGATGGAAAATCTTCCTGTGACTTAGTTTTTATTTCCTTCATTCAGCTTCCAAGTCCACAGGACCAGCTTCCTTACAGGTAGCATTTCCAAGGTGTGATAGGGCTGTTAACCTATCCTTCGTATTGCGATGTTCATTGATGGCCCATCTGAATTTGATAGTCCTGGATGGACAGGGGGGACAATTCTTATGCCTGAGCTCTCAAATTCAGAGCAAACATCTTCAAAGTTATAAAGCAAAACTTACATAATTTCTTATAGCGTGGAATACAGGCATTACAAGTGACATTAATGCATGCAGCAACTTACCAGCACTTCATAGTCTAAACACTAAATACTGTACCCTCTTATAAGACAAATAGCTATTTTCAGCAAAACTAACATACAGGTGAACTGGTCTGGTCTCCAGCTATGAGTTTTAGTTCTTAACTTACGCCAGCAGCCCAGACAAGAGCTGGCATCTAACAATATATATCTATATGGCTGTCCACCATGAGGGGTATACATACACATACACACATGTTTTCAGCTCTCACTAGGACAGATATTGACATCCAGGGTACTTCTTTTTTCAGGTCTCACGTGGCTCTCGCTTCCTCCTTTTCTCCCTATTGTTCCTAATCATCTCATTCTACTTCTTTTTCCTGTTAGTTTTGTGCTTTTCATGCCATCTCACCATTTGAAACATGACCCAAGGATCCATCTCACTTTCCTCTACAATTGATGTCTTTAATTTTTTCCCCTTCTTGTCCAGCAAGCAACTGTTTGTGCCTTTCTCTCTCCTCTCCTTCCCTCCCCTCCCAATATCATTGATTTATTTTAAGTCTTATTTTAATTCGTCTTCTAACCAATTATGTTTACAAACCTCCAGTTCCTCAGCTTTAGCCCAGT